TTCAAGTGGGAGGTGATAGCTTATTTCAAGAGGTTTATTACAATAGGTCATATGCTCAATTCTGATTAAAAACGAGAAAGCTATAACCATTTTACAAAGAACTATGGAAGCTGGGGAATGGGTACGGTCGTCGCCCTACCCAAAATTAGGAATCAAATTAAAATATGTCTTCACTCGACTAATGATATTTCTTGGGGAATAATCTAGGGTTTCTTTATGTTATATAAGGAACCGTTAGTTGGGCCTGGGTGGACAATTAGAAGTACCGATTTCTCTGTATGTGTTTTGTGCTCTCTTTCTTCTGTCATGTCTTTTATAATATATTATATGTGTTTTAAAATGTTTTGTGCTCTGTTTCTTCTGTCATGTCTTTTATAATGTATTATGTGTTTTAAAAAGCCAGCTATGATTCTTTAGCTTAGTACAAGGTCGAAAAGAATGCTTTGCAGCCCAAGTGGGGTTCCATAGTGGAGAAGGAAGGAGCGAAGTCTTAACTGGACAAGGGGAGACAGATGTCCCCCCACTTCCCAAAAAAAATTCAGTTTAACTACAATATTTTGCCTAATATGTGTTATAGCAAGGGAGTTGGCAGAGTGGTTGAAGCAGGGGCGGAGCTACAGGGGGGGCTGGAAGAGGCCCAGCCCCTGTAGCCCAAATCCGTGTCCTTTATTTTTAATTAATTGGCCCCTGCAGTTTTTTAATATGTATACTAATGATTTCACTAAAATGTTGATGAAATTAGGTGGCTTAGTGGTATGTGGGCTTATAGTAATTCTCCATGGTCTGAAGTTCAATCCTATTCAATGACATAAGCATATTTTTTCATTTTATTTTTTTCCTCTCCTTTTTTCCCCCAAATTCTATACTCTTCGATCCTACTATCAGTGACTATAGTAGATCTTTTATTATTTTTTCCTCTTTGTTTTTTGCCCAAATCCTACACTAAACTTCTTAAACTCTTCAATAAGTTTTTATTCTTCAATCTTCTACTTCTATTCACTCCGGTAATTTTTATTTTGTTTTATAAGTTCATATTCAACAAGTGGAATTACACCAATTTTGTATATAGGAAAATAGGTTGCCAATAATTTTATCATGTAATCTATTATTGATTTTTTTTTTAATATGAAAAATCATAAATTGCGATTTTTAAAAAATAATTGTAATAATATATTGTTTCAACCATCGCCCCCCCTAGCTTAAAATTTCTGGCTCCGCCCCTGGGTCGAGTAATATTCATGACTAATGAGCTTGTCATTCCAAAGATCAGAGTTCAATGCTTTCTTTAGCCATTTTTCTTCCTTTTTTTTTAAACCATTTTTCTTCTTTTTTTTAAAGCCATTTCAAGAAATCTTTATTTCAGTAGATAGTATTACTTCAATTTTTTTTTTAACAATTACTCCATTTAGTTATTTGAATAATTGTAATTGTAGTTTCCTTTTTTTTAAAAAAAAAAAAAAACCCCTTATAAATTAGTATTATTTCAATTTATTTCTTAACAATTAATCCATTTACCTTTTTTTTTTTTTTTTTTTTTTTTTTTTTTTTTTTTTTTGAAACAACTCCATTTACTTATTTCAATAATTATAATTGCAGTTTTAATGTATAAAATAGTATTACTTCAATTTATTTTTTAACAATTACACCATATACGTATTTGAATAATTGTAATTGTAGTTTTGCATGAATATTACCCCAAATTATGATTGTAATAAGTAATTATGACAAATACTACATTTAAATAGTTATATAAAAAGTTATCAAGTTTTCGAATACGAACAGATGAATCAGAAGGAAATCATCCTCACGGCTACAAAGGATTGTTAGATTGTCTCTCCAACAAGGCTGTAATTTTCAGCGATATAAGCGGGAGATGCTCTGCAGTGCAAGATCTACTCGACGATCGTAGTTTTTATGAAGGAAAATTCTATTTGATTCAATATCTTATGTATTTGTTAACGTCGAATCTCTATTGTAGATGTCGTATGACTTTTAATTAATGAAATATTTTTGTTTTTCAAAAAAAAAAAATAGTTATATTTTTTATTGTTCGAATTTTTTTACGAATCCCTAATTAAATACGTTTATGGAGGAAAATTTGGTATATGATATTGATTTTTTGATAAATACTTTGTATTTCATATTTTTGAATTGTAAAACTTTAAATATTTTTTTTAAAAAATTGCTCTTTCATTTGTCCACCCGATTTAAAATTTCTGGCTCCGCCACTACTTAACTACCATACACGCTATACTACTAGACTACTAGCACTTTACGAGTAGATTAGTTGAGTGACTAGACAAAGACTCTCTTTGATATCAATCACTAAACTCTAGGGGTCTGGTTGTCATTTGGGGTGCCCTTTTCCTTCATCTGGTAATGTACTCAAAGAAGGTCTCGGTTAGGTTGCAGCTTGGTGCTTTCTAAGTCGTCACGTTTGGTTACATCTACCTCGATGTTGTAACTATCCATATTGTTGAACACTTGAACTCATTGCATATGTCCTCCCAATTTCTTGAACTTGTCATCCAGGGAGAGGAACCACCTTAAGGCAGCGCCGGTCAGTGTCCTTTGGAACAACTGAGCAAGGGTTCCGAAGGAAGCACCCAAAGGCTGCATGTTCCCGGCATACATGACTATTAGCTAATGATCATGACCCAACACACCCAACCTACACGATGACCACCTCTATTTACTAATAGTAGTGAATAGTGATGCTCTTGGCGTGTAAAAAGCCCAAAATTTGTATGTAGTTTTATCGTATACATAGCAGCTTATTTCAATTCATTATTTGTTGCTTCCTCTAACAAATGATTTTTTTAACAAATGATTTATTTATATGTGAGTTTTTTTTTAAAAAAAAAATTTAATTTTTTTTATTATTTTTTTAATAAGTAGTTTCATTTCTTGTTGCTGTCTAGATGGAAACTTTGATTTACTTAATTATTCATAATATGTTTTGGCAAGATTTCTTCTTGATGTTGCTATGACTTTGAACAATGAACACTATCTAACTATCGAAGGCATCATATGAGTCACCGTCGAGGATCATATGAGGTTGGTTAGACCCACTTAAACAATAACATGATGGACACTTACTTAGAAGTGTTGAATTTTTTAGTGTTATTGTACATAACTCTAAAAGTAGACACACCAAAAAGCATACGAAAAAGGCTTAGTTTTGAAAATATTCTACTAACTGAAATTTCATGCATCATTAATACTCTTTCTTTTTCTAAATAAGTGTTTTAGTATAAACTTCTTAAATAATACATTTATACATGTAAGTGTTCCACATTAAGGTTACTCCTTCTATTGTCATATTATTTTGAAATGAAATGTTCTTTGGTCATATAAAGTGGATTCTCTCTTTTGATGACGGGTGCGGCCCAAACCCGTTTATCAATAAGTGCACAATTTATTTATGTACATACATCATATTAGACAAGTGAGTTAAAGTGTGTATTATGTATTTCATTGGCAGTTGGATCAGGTTAGAAATATCAAATATTTAATTTTATTTATATATAAAGAAAATGTGATTATTTACTCCATTCATTTTAATTGATTGATGTGCGGTGTCACTTCGACAGACATACATGTCAATAATGTATAACTTTCAAAATTACTACATGATCTACATCTATTACTAAAAAAATAAATGGTTAAAAAAATACATACAATCAAATTTATATTTTAATACAAGTTATATTATAAGTAGGATTGTCCATCAATCCAAGAACAAAACGAACTAGACTGAACTGTACTGGACCAATGACAGACCAAAAATTTAAATCTAATACTCGGAGATTGAACCGTTTTTTGCTTGAACCAAACCCAGACCAAACTCGTTTGGATTGGTTTTAGAATTTCATTCCATATGTGAAAATATTTTTATAACACTTTAGAGATTTTTATTTATTATTTTAAACAAATATAATGGATCTGTCCAAGAATGATTTTTAAGAGAGTTTGAACCGGGCCAGAATGCAGACTAAAATAATAAATTTCTTAACCTAAAGGCCAGATCTGTTCTTTGATCTGGTTTGGTATAATTCAATCCATTTTTTCGATTCAGACCGGTTTATTAACACCTTAAAGAATATAGTCAAAGTTTGTATACAATTAAAAGTAAAGTGATGCACTTATTAAAAAAAAAAAAGGAGTATGAGAATCTTAAGAAGAAAAATAAATAATTTAAAATTTTGACATTAGGGTTATAGTGGTGACAAATCATTTGTGTACATCAGGTATATAATAATATTTAGCATATAATGAACTATTTTAGTGTAATTTTTAACCAAATTTAGGTAACTTTTAACTTTCTTTGGGGTAATATTAAACTGATGGTTATCTTCAAATACTGATATCTAATCTTTATTCTTTACACAGATCAACTTTATCAATAAAAACCTTTGATCATATTTATCTTAATAGTGAGTCAACTTTTAATCATTTTAATAGTATGTAACTATTATTTATGGTGAGTCAACTTTTTATTGTTTTGGGTAACTTTATAAGTAATGAACCAAAATTGTACATTCTATTTATTTTAATTTTTTTTTCAAGATAAGAGAGAACCAATGAATTATAGTGATATGTGTTCAAAAAAAAAAAAAAGAATTATAGTGATACATTTTCAAATAAAAAAATATAATCAACTAAGACCTTGTTCTTTTTAGCTTCTGGGTAGAGCAGATTTCAGAATAGCAGAATAGAGTTGAGCAGATTGAAGCAGAGCAAAATCGAGCTGAGTAGAGCAGAATTCATTATTATTATTAGGAAAATGTTATCCATAACCCTTAGGGCTATATATAAGCATTTAATTTACACTTAAAATCATAAAAAGTTAAGAAATCATCAAAATATAAACACTAATAACACTAATTTGTGCGTGTGTTTGTCATGAATTCCTAATTTTATACAATTTTCAAGAGTATATTTAATACTTATATATAACCCTTAGGGTTACCCTTATTATTATCCACATTACTATTATTCAAACCTTTTGCAGCTTGGTTGCCCAAAAAAAAAAAAAAAAAAAAATATAAAATTGTAAAGGCAAAGAGAGTACTTGTAAATGGTAACAATTTTCAAACCAACCCATTCCAACCTTCCACAACATCTCCCCCAAATTTGGGTTGTAAGAAATCATCACATGCTAATCACAAACAACACCCTTCATTCTTACTAAAATTCATCATCAAATCGCTGCTGCTTCCCACTGGCATGTGCTCAGATGCACACCCTTTCTCTCTCTCTCTCTCTACTCTGCTGCACCACTTCACCAGTAGTACAACACCATAATAATAGTCTCCCTCTCTTCAACCCCCGTTGAAAATTAAATAAATATCAAATTATAATCCTAATTTTTAACCTCCTTCTTTCCTAGATCTTCTCTTTTCTTATTTTCTCTCTCCTCCCGATCATGAAAATGAAACTCAACTCTACTACTAATCCTCTCATTTCTCTCGAACACAAGAGGTTTCTCTCTCTACTTTTTCCGCCATTTTTAGCCTTTTTTGTTTTTCTTTCACGCGCTCTCCTGTTTTCCCGCTTTCATTCTTCAATTTCATGATTTCTGTCGATTTTTTGGCTGCTGATTTTGATTTTGATTTTTTCGACGTAATTTTTGTGTAATATGGGTTTAATTTTGGTTTTTCCGACGTAATTTTGTGTCGGTTTTGATTGATATTTGATGAAATGTAGGTTTACATTTTTTGATCTAATTGTTTTGTGGTTTGAGCAAGGGTTGAGTAATTTGATTGGATTTTAATGTCGAATTCGAGTTGAATTTAGTTGGAGTTCAATTTGGTGGTACGAATTGAGCAATGCTGTGTTGTATGTTAGTGTTTTTCATCTTTTTGTTTTTTGGATAAAATGTTGATATGATTTTTGATTGAGATATTGCTAATTTGGAGATGATGTTTTGTTGAGTTAAGTATAAGAATGGGGACTAAGTTTTTAGTTTTTTCACCTTTTGGGACCTTAATTTTTTTATTTCACCTTTTGGGACCTCTAGTTAATAATCCGGCAAACTAACCTAAGTTTAACTCACCGGAGCAAAAACTTAATCCCTTCATTGAATTTCTGTACCTTTTATTAAATTTCTTGTAAAAAAACTTAGTCCCTTCATTTAATACTTAGTTTTTTCTCGGTGCTCGGATTTTATTTTTTCACTATAAGGTTTTGTTTCAAGGTTTAAAGTGATTTATGTTCTTGATAACTTCATGTTTTTTTTTTTTTCTTTTGATTTGATTGGTTTTATTTTCTGGATGTGTTGATTATTTATGCAATTTTTTTTTGTATGTTTTTATGCTCTTCAATTTATTATATGATACAAAGATTTGATTTGTATGTGTTCAACTTAGAAAATTGAATTTTTTTTACGGTGTATTTTATTTGCGTATATAAAAAGAGTTTATTAGAGCTCGCTTTGTGTAGTTTAAGTTTCCTTAAAATTAATAAAAAATAAAAAGTTTATTTTTTGTTCCAGATTTAAAATTAACAAATTGGCATAGGTATGATTAACTTTATAATCAGTGTTATTTCATATTCTTATGAACATCATTAAATATTGAAATTGAATAATGACAATAATGAAAGTGGAAGCATTAATAAAAATATAAACTTAGTCCCTCACGTTTTATGAATTAGGGAAGTAAAAGTAGTAATAATTAAATTACAATGCTAGGATTACACTTTCTCGTATTTTCCACCTGTATGTGGGTTTGGGGTGTGGAAATGCTTATTTACCCTTTGTGATTTTATCGGATATGAAATCAGTTCATCATACAAGAGATTTCCCATATGGATGTGGCTCAAATGTCCCTAAAATAATCACTCAGATTGCTGGAGAATTAATTGAGTAATTGGAGGAGTGTTGTTAGGTGTGGAAATACAAATTTACCTTTTACTTTTTAGGGGACTAAGTTTTTTAATAGGGGACTATGTTTTTTAACTAAGGGACTATGTTTTTTTAACTCACCTTAGTTACTTTTTGGCCGGAAAGTGGACTCTAGGTCCCAAACGGTGAAAAAAAAAACTTAGGTCCCAAAAGGTGAAAAAATTAAAAACTTAGACCCCAATGTTATACTTAACTCATGTTTTGTTTGTTGTAGGGATGCTTATGGATTTGCTGTTAGGCCTCAGCATGTGCAAAGATATAGAGAGTATGCTAACATTTACAAGGTACTACTTAATAGTTTTATTGCTCGTGTTTTTGATCGATTCATGAATTTTGAAGGGATTTTGAAGCATTGGCAATTGTTTTTGTGCATTGAGATGAGTGTGAAATGTTTGCTATACTTAAATGTTCTACTTGCTATAGGGATTCTATGATTTAATGAGTTGAGGAATTCGGCCTTATTCGTTTTTGATTGGTTTTCGTGGTTTATATGAACGAGGAAGTCTTAGGTGAGATGGTGTCACACTATTCGTTGTTAGATTCTATAATCATCCTCAAAAAGGTAAAAAAGATAAGTTATCAAGGTCGAGTTAGTTTTTGTTAGTCGTCTCCAAACATTTATATTTATTGAGATTTTTATGAAGAATATTTGGCTAACATTTTGACTAAGATGATAGTTGTTGAATTTGTGTTTAAATTAAACTCGTATTAGTTTATACCAGTATTGAGTAGATGAAGTGCTTATAACTCGACTGCTATCTATCCCGTCTCACTTTCACAAAGTGATGGATGTAACTTATTGTTCTGAAATTGTTGTTTTTCTTATATTTGGCTTTTCAGGAAGAGGAAGAAGAAAGATCTGATCGATGGAATATTTTTCTGGAAAGGGTATCCGAGTCTGTCCAATTGCCTGTTGATGGGGTAGCAGTTGATGCAGCTGACAACAAAGAAGGTGACAGGACATCTGAAGCTGATACTAATCATCAAATATCAGATGAAGATTTTAATGGAACTGATACACCTAATTCAGTTGACAATGGAGAACAGGAGCCAGTGGTCCCAGCAGTAGAGGAAAAGAAAACTCACAAAGTTCAAATATGGTCGAACATAAGACCGTCATTATGTACAATAGAGGATATGATGAGTGTTCGGGTAAAAAAGATGAACCATCTGTCTAAGAGAGGACAAGATACTGATCCTCAAAAGACTCTCAAAACTAATGAAGAGGCTAAATCTTCCAAAGGAGCACCGGAAGATGATTCGGAAGAAGAATTCTATGATGTGGAGAGATCAGATCCTGTTCAAGATGTCCCTTCTATTGATAGTGCTGCCTCACCTGCAACTACTAACCTTTTGGAAGGAACCAACTTAGACTCTAGTACTCCATGGAAAGAAGAGCTTGAAGTCCTTGTTCGAGGGGGACTGCCAATGGCCCTTAGAGGAGAGGTATATTATTTGATTAGGCTACATGTTATTTGTTGTTTACTGGGTATACTTGTTTAATAGTTGGTTTAATCCTTACAATTGTAGCTTTGGCAAGCCTTTGTTGGTGTGAAGGCACGCCGAGTAGAGAACTACTATCAAAATCTGTTGTCTGCAGAAAGTAATCATGGTTATAAAACAAATCAAGAAGAAATAAATGATAAAGAGCCTGGTATAGAAAGTAAAGGACGATGTGAGAAATGGAAGGGGCAGATTGAAAAGGTGAATTGAAATTTGCTCTTGTCAATACTATATATATTAAAAAGGTTTTAGGCCCTGATTTTACCATAATCATATGCACACAGGATTTACCCCGTACTTTCCCAGGCCACCCTGCTTTGGATGAGAATGGTAGAAATGCTTTAAGGCGATTACTTATAGCTTATGCTCGGCATAATCCATCAGTTGGCTATTGCCAGGTAATTGACTTTGAAAATCTTGTCTACCTCTTCTTTTGAATTCTAGATCATAAGTAATGAAGTATACCTTAGTTTAGTGCCTAGCATATCCAAGTTTTCTATTGAACTTTTTCCAGTTTTGTTGCAAATATTTAGAACTGTTTAGTTTATGCTTCTAGTAGAAGGAGAAAACTTTCGATTATACATTTGAGAAGCTTTAGTGGAATGGCTTGTCTTTTAATTTGGGCGTCTTGTGTTGGTCTTAAAGTTGATCAGGCGAGGAGTTGGTATCTCTTTACTTTCTAAGATATGAAGATATCCAAGTCAATTATTTTGGCAATGGTAGAATTCATATGTAGAACTCTCCTTATGCTTAGGGGTTAAAATGGTCCAAGAAAACCATTTTATTTTGGCAATGGTAGAATTCAATGTAAAGCTCAAATTTTAACGGTCACTGTTATTTTCCACGCCTGAGTCGAAGAGGAACTTGATTTTCAGACTGAGGCAGTACTTAAGAAATTGTATTGAAAATTGGGAGTATATGGGAATTGCGTACAAAATATCAACTCCATATTATAAAACTTCTAATGTGTTTGATTTTTGGGATGTCTAATAATATCCTTAAAACATTTTCTTATGTAGTCTAAGACTTGTCTGAGGGTATGGGAGAAAACTTTTTGGTAATTCTCCATGTGGTTTTATGTTTTCAAGTTTTGAGTTAACTGGGGGACAACTGAGTAAATTGTTTGTTTGTTTGATAATTTGTGATTGCATCAGAGTAACACTATGAAGTATGAGGCACGGAAACACTTATCCCCAATTATACTGTACCATAAATGGCTAAATGCTGAAAAACAGGGATGACCATAAGTGACAAGCTAGCAATGTTTTGGGCATTTTAAACTTGAAGAAAAAGTAGCTGAAATTTCTCTGCTCACAAATGTTCTAAAAAATTACAGAATTTAAATCATATTGGAAATCCAATCCGTGTCACTGATGGTTGATTGAGACTAGGGCTTTCAAACGGGTCGGGTCGTGTTGTGTCGGGTTTGTGTTCGTGTCAATATTAAACGGGATGATAAACCCTTGACCCAAACCTAACCCGTTTATTAAAAGGGTTGAAAATCCTTGACCCAAACCTAACCCTCTTATTAAACGGGTTTTCGGGTAACCTTTTACCCACTTACTTTATTAATTCATACAAGTGACTATAGAAAACTTTAAAGTGAAATAGTAGTAAAATTTGTCCTTCTAAACCAAAAATTTTGCCCACTAAAAGTTTTTACTAAAATATTTATACTATCAAATTATGTAGTTAGGAGGGTTAGTAAGATTGACATATGAAAAATCAATTATCTTAACTACTTCAATAGACAAGTTCAGCATGTTGGATTCAGTTTAACCCATTAATTTAATCAGTATGCGTGTTGGTTTCAGGTGAAAATTTCAACCCAAACCTAACCCGTTTAATTTCGTGTTGGGTTTGTGTCGACCCAATTACTTTAACTGGTCGAGAAATCTTGACCCATACCCTCTTATTTCGTGTCGGGTTCATGTCTTTTTATCGTGTCATGTCAGCTTTTGTCAGCCCTAATTGAGACTTGAAATGGTTTGTTGACATTGTGGCAGGTTCATGGGACTTTAATACTCCCTACCACATATTCAAAAATTTGATGCATTGATTAAAAGGAAATGATGACAAAACAATCTTAGGCTTTTGTTTGATTAGAAGAGCCAATAATTATAGTGGATATATTTTGTTGGCATAAAGTGTTTTTTAATTTTATTTTAATTTTTATTATTTCTTTTGACGGGGGTGCTAAATTGATAATATGACATAGGCAGAGAATAAGAGAGAGGGGGGGTGGGGGGGGGGGTGGAGGAGGCTGGAAAGTTGAAACTTCTAGGAATCCCTTAATCATTAGCAGCACCAAGCATTTGACAAATTATACAAACAAACTCATCATTTCCTGCGGTTCTGTCCATCAAAACTGTGAAGTTTTGTTTTTGTTTTTCTTCTTTCATTCTTTCTTTCGTTTTTTTTTTTAAATGTCAACATTCAGTTATCTGTTTTCATGGTTAAGCTTGCAACTTGCATTAATTCATTAGTTTCTAAATACTTAATCATATTACTAAATTCATACTATCTAGAACTCTAGAAGGTTTTGCATGCTTTAACGTCTAGTCCTATAGAAGTTTTAGAGAAGCTTTTGTATATCAAATGCACAATGGAATTGAAGAACTTACTCAGCTTGTCATCTCTTTTTATGTATCACCAGGCTATGAACTTTTTTGCTGGCATACTGTTGCTTTTGATGCCTGAAGAGAATGCCTTTTGGTAGGTCTGAAAACGTTCATTGTTACAACCTTTCTACATTAATCACACTTTAATGTTGCTCTACATGCGCTGCACTGTCCAGTATCTTTTCCGTCCATATTTAGTTGATACACTTTCCTTGTAAATCTCTCTCTATTTAGTTGACACTTCTCATTTTCCACTATCATAAAAATGTACCCCACTACTCGCAAAATATAATACCCCACTACCAACTATCACGCTATAAAATAAGAAGTCAATTAAGTTTGCCTAAATCTTTTGTCGGTCAAAAGTGTGTCAGCTAAATAGGGATAGAGGGAGTAATATATTATGTGGGCAGCCCTGATGGGTCATTTGGGTGACTATTTCAATGGCTTTATCTACAGGACCCTTATGGGTATTATGGATGACTATTTTGATGGTTATTATTCAGAAGAGATGATTGAATGTCAGGTAGTAATGCTCTCCTACTATTCTATCAGCATGCATTGTATGTACAATTACCTTTTTTGGGGATGTGACAAGTTGTATGCTCAATATTGTATTTTACAGGTAGACCAACTTGTTTTTGAGGACTTGGTGCGTGAAAGATTCCCGAAATTGGGTTTGTATCCTCTTGTTATTAACTGATTTTTTTTTTTTTTTTTTTTTTTTAATTATTATTTTTTTTTTTTTTCTTTCTACAACTTCTGAATGGTGTGACCTCTCTTCTTGCAGTTAATCATCTTGATTACTTGGGCGTACAAGTGGCATGGGTTACTGGACCATGGTTTCTCTCTATATTCATGAATATGCTTCCATGGGAAAGTGGTTAGGTTCTACTTTTGATTTTAGATAATGTCCTGATATCTATGGTGCATGACTCTTTTGGACATTCTGCAGCATATACTCATCATTGTTTGCCTGAAGTTTTTCTAATATATATATTTGTTTTTGACAATTCTAGTATTTTAGTGATCAGCTGTTTATAATTTGCTTTTTTTTTTTTTTCTTTCTTACATCAGTTCTTCGAGTTTGGGATGTGCTTCTCTTTGAAGGGACACGTGTCATGCTGTTCCGCACTGCCCTTGCACTAATGGAGTTATATGGTACTGGGATTATAAATTTGTTTTAAGAAGTTTTGGATGTAGTTTACTTGCAAAATGAAGAGGGAAGAGTTTTTTTCTCCAGATATTAGGAAATTATGGGGACATAGGGTTCCTGAACTGTTATTTAAAATTATTTAACAGTTAATAATGATGATCTCCTTTTCAACTTTGCATAGGCCCTGCCTTGGTGACAACAAAAGATGCGGGAGATGCAGTTACTTTGCTGCAATCTCTTGCTGGATCAACTTTTGACAGCAGTCAACTAGTCTTGACAGCTTGCATGGGATTCCAAAATGTGCATGAAGCTAGACTGCAGGAATTAAGAGATAAAAATCGACCAGCAGTAATAGCTGCTATTGAAGAAAGATCCAAGTGCCTTCAGGCTCTGAAAAATTCACAGGGTCTTGCTTCTAAGCTGTTCAGTTTTAAGCATGATCCTGGATCTGTTGTGACAGACAAATCAAAAGTTGCTGATGAAAAAACGAATGGCGATACAACCCACATGGAATCTGGTTCAACTACGCCAGATGATTACTTTATTGGTATGACTGGAGGTGTGGACATTGATCCTGGTTTAGACCTTCAAGAGCAGGTAATGGCTTAATGCTTATTTCTTAGCTTTCAGTCTCATTGTCACAATTTATTGATTAGCCCTATTGGCTAAATGAGAAATACTATGCTTAGTGTAGTTATTTCTCATTTTTGTCTGAATTTGCAGAAAGCAGTGACTTCCTAGCTTATTAGCTTTATGACTGAATTTCTTTCTGGAATAGCTAAGTTGGAAGCTTACTTTTTCTTTCGGATGATGTCATCGCACTGACATGCCTTTATTATTTTAAAAAAATTGACCTTGGAAGTTTTTAGTCTTTCAGACCTGTAAATTCCATTAATCCTTGATAAATATTCTTTGTTATGTTCAGGATTTGGTAAATTGAGTCAAAAAGTGGTATTTGATCTATTATCTGCTTTTCCTGTGTGCTTTTTTGGGTACATCATAGACAATTTTCAAATACTGAACTGATTGCTGATCTAGTTTCCAGCCTGTTAGATTCTTTTCATACGGAAAACAAATTTAATTATATGAGCAAAGATTTTGCACAAAGCTTTAGATCAAGAGCTGAGGAGAAATGAAGCAACAGCTCTAAGGAAACATAGATTTCTTGCAAATCTCTTAGTGTGAGCCATGTTGCTGGTCTGAGCTGATGTATTTGATGAATAGGAGGGGGTGGGGGGAATGTAAGGCCAAATCTCATTCTAGGATGGAAAAGTTCTAGTTGTTTCAGTTCTCTCGGCGATGCACTGATGATTTGGTGGCAAGCTTGGTAATACAGTATCTAGGGTATTTAGGTAGCTGGGAAAATTAGAGGGATATTATGGTAGGAAGTGTTAAGAGCATCGAGTAGCTAGTTATAGAAACTGAAACTGGATACTTTAAATATACCATTATTTCTCTTCCCTCTCTTTTATTTAGTTTCTCTAACTATTCTCTTTACATTTTCTCTTAGGCGGGTTGGTTGAAGGTTGAGCTATGCAAATTGCTGGAGGAAAAAAGATCTGCAGAGCTAAGGTGAAATTCAGGCTTTCTTTTCTCATATATAACAATAATAAGGGATGACATCCTAATCTAATTTCTGAACTAGGATTTGGTATATACTTCCCGAATATTGTAATTATTGTGTCCCTATGTGATGTCATGTTTCTGTTCTTTGTAGTTTCTCTTTATCCTTTTGGATTAAGAGGGTAACTTGATTAGATTCCACAGAAAACTGTGGCAAAGATTGCTTCGTCCAAAAGTGTAATTTTATTGAATTGTTAATATGTACCCGAGTATAACTCAGGGTTTTTTTTTCCTTCTTTTTTTTCTTTCTTTTTTTTTTAAAAAAAAAAAAAAAAAAAAAAAAAATAGAAGACCAAATAAAGGGCTTGAGAAGAATGTTCATGAAATTGTATGATTTGTTACTTGATGAACACAAATTTATAATTTGTGCTTGTCAATTCTATATGTTCAACATTGGTATTATGCTATTATCAACAAGCCTCCAGTTCCCACTCAAACCTGGAATGGGGAGATCTAATGTATGCAGCCTTCATCATATCACACCTTACTGTTTTTGCTCTTACATTTCGACAGGAAGACATGACCCTTGTATACTCTCTGATATTGGATCTTTCAATTCTTGAACCTAGTCATTGTTAAACTTTGACCTCAAGTTCTCTATTGCTCTTATTTTTTTTTTTCTTTAATCATCTAATAACATTTTAGTTATCATGTTATGCATTAGCTTTAGGCTACAGTTATTGTGGCTGCTGTCACTAGATTGCTTTTTTTTTTTTTTTGTTATAATCAATGGCATCATAATGGAGGTTAAATTTAGGTGCTTCTGGACAATAATTCATGTGATTATGATTCTTGCTTGAAATATTTAAATATATTTCCTCTTCATGTAGCATGATCATGTAATCATAATAATTCCTCATTCTCCTACTTGCAATTGATGTATGCTGAAACCAAAGCATATTTTCCTGTGAAAAGTGCTAGATTGTCAGCTATTTAGATCATTTCTCTTACCTTTGAGTAATTTCTGGTAAGTTTTAACATTGTTTGTTTATTATTATTTTTTTCTTTATTGTGGCTCCAGAGCAGAGGAGCTGGAGACTGCATTAATGGAAATGGTGAAGCAAGATAACCGTCGACAACTAAGTGCAAGGGTATGTTTCTGTTATATTCAAATTTTTAATTGAAAGTCCAAACCTTATGCTACCCTATGTCCCTATGTTATCATCATATATCCTTCATAGACATATTGGACTGTGGAGTGTGTACTTTATGAAATATCTGTAAAGGCTTCTAGTCTTGATTGCTGTCAAAAGATGGAGCAGCCAGTCTAAAGTTTAGTGTTTGATTGGATACAATTTACTTTGAAATTAACTGTTTTATATTTACCATTTCCTGGAATCAGAATATTACCAATACAAGATTTAGCATTTTAAAAAAGTACAAGCACTTATGTAGGTAGCAAGTTGCATATTTAAAGTATTCTTTTATGAAAGCAGGTTGAACAATTGGAACAAGAGGTTTCAGAGCTACGTCGTGTCCTGGCTGATAAGCAGGAGCAAGAAAGTGCCATGATTCAGGTGTAATCTAGCTTTTAGATTTGACAAAATTATTATTGAGAAGTTTCTTCAAATGAAAAAGATTGAGTATGCATAAATTCTTTTGAGCATAATTCACTTCTTATATTTGAAAAATTTTTATGCAAATTTTGTTCATAAAATTTTGCTCATAACAATCAAGACAAATAACTTTCCAGGTCTTGATGCGGGTTGAGCAAGAGCAGAAGTTAACAGAAGATGCCCGTAGATTTGCTGAACAAGAAGCGGCAGCTCAGAGGCATGCTGCTGAAACTCTTCAGGTTCTTTTTAGATCCTCCACCCCCTCCCCTCCTGGTTTTTGTTCCATCTAATTGGAGGGAAAGGCTAGTTGAATACATACTGTTGGCTTCTTAGGACATAGTGTTAAGACATATTTTGATTTTAGTTCATGAAATCCAGCTACCTTGTTGAACTGCTTGATCAAGTTTTATACTTCGTATATAAGAAATTTTTCTTAGATGTTTTTGCATATTCAATAAAGATTTAGATTATCACGTGCGTTGACCTGCTAGCTTTTAGTTATTGATTGCTAATTAGCACAATACACATCTAAACAAAATTGTAGGTTTAAATTATCTGCTTCAATTATATGTCCTCCCCATCCTTTTACTTATATATTTTTTCAAATTATGTGCTGCTGTAGGTTTTGTTAGGATAATACTCATGCTTCTTTACATATGTGTAGGAAAAGTATGATAAGGTTATAGCTTCACTTGCTGAAATGGAGAAGCGGGTAGTTATGGCAGAGTCGATGTTGGAAGCTACACTGCAATACCAGTCCGGGCAAATGAAAGTTCAACCTTCTCCAAGGTATGCTGTCAGGTTGAGTGAAACTTTGAAGTTTTGAGCTGCTTTTCTCATGTTAATGCAAACATATATCATTTAATAAATGGGCAAGCACTCTTGTGAACACGTTAATCTTTTAAATAAAAGTTTGGCTTCTGTCTGTTCAAGATATAATATTGTGATGTAAGATGGTCTGACCTTTACTTTGCAGGTCACAAAACAATTCTTCGCCTGCACAAAGTAATATGGAGCCTTCAATCGAGGTGCCTCCTAGAAAAATTAGCCTGCTGGCAAGACCTTTTGGACTTGGATGGCGTGACAAGAACAAGGTAGCCTACTTTGATAAGATTTTTTTTTTATTTACTTCTGATAATGCTGTTTTTGCCAAGTCATAGTTGAATTTATATGTTGCTAGTATGTATAACTTTCTATTTGTAATTAAAATTTAGGGAGTACAGAGTAATATAGAGACTCAACCATCGTTCAGCTTCATCGTAAAGCTTAATTTAGAAGAGGAAAAGAAGACACCTATAGTGTGAACTGGAGTATAGGTCATTACAACATAAACATTGAACTATTGATTTATCGAACTAATTTATCTATAAAGGCATCCAATCGTCTCCTGGGCAGGGTAGGGGGTTAGATGCTTGTAGCTTTGCCCCTGTGATAAGTACGATAACAGAGAGGCTGTCTTTAGTTGACCCTTAAACCAATAGATATCATTGTATTCTACTTCAAAGTAAACAAAGCTGTGTATGCTGTTCCCTTTAAGCAATACGTTTTTTTTTTTTTTTTTTTTTTTTTTTTTTTTTTTTTTTTTTTGGTGTTTAGAGAGCCACAAGAGCGGGGGTGAAAATCGATCCCAGGATCTCCTGGAATCGGGAGGGAAGCTCTAACCACTTGAGCTATCCCTCACTCTCTCCCTTTAAGCAATACATGATTACACAGTGACTGCTTTTTTCCCAATAAATAAGGATCATAGGCAGTTTTATGAGCCATTAATTAGGATGGTTATCAGAATTCGTCAAGGATGGCTATCAGAATTCAAAAACATATTTGAGTATTTGACTACCACGAAGAATTAATCAGAGTTGCACTTACCCTGTTACCCATTTTTCTTTCATCTTTCTTTATGTCTTTTGGCATGTTGGTCTCCAAATTAATTTCTGTTGGTCTGTTGTGTAGAGTTACTATTTAGTAGCAGTCTCATTTCCAATAACAAATAAATATGCATTTTTTGATGCTTATTGTCATACATGTTAATCTACCATTATTGCTTGAAGAGATATTTTTGGTTACGCCTTTAAATCCTAACCATGGAAGATGTTGTAAAATGATGCACTATGATCACCATAGCTGCACATATTGCGTCTTTTGGAGCATCCTAGCACTTGTTAATGTTGTTATATTCAACTGAATCAACTGTGGCCTGAATCCGATGGTTTTAACAGGGAAAGCCAGCGAATACAGAAGAGTCAAGTGATAACAAGCCTGTTGACGAGGTGCAGAGCCCAGTCGTGGAGAAAGAAAGTGTTGAAAGTGAAGCTCCAGAGAAACCATAATAATATGATTGTTGTTTATACAGGCAAATTGATGAGGTACATAGTCTGTATTGTACTGGTCAAAATCCAGTTCAGGCGGGATACTAATGTGCGGTCCAATTAGTATAGATAAGTCTTGTTGGTAATTTTTGATTCATAGTTGTGTACCCAGTGTATAGTGTCAATTTTGTATTTGTTAACGATATACTAATAAAAACATTGTAGAAATATAGTTAGAAAGTTGCTATAAAAATGTGATTGATATTACAATTATAACGACCATTAGCTTCTCTCAGCCCCTTGGCTTTTTCTGATGTACCACTGTTCCATGGAGTGTCGACCCTTATGTGGTGAAGCGACATTTAAAAAACATACGATTGCGACATAAGAAAAACAAGTCAATTGTTTACTCCATTTGTCTCTGAATAATGAATTTATCAGTAACGTTCACTAAATAGTACTAGTGTATATATGAACCTGCAAATATATTTACTCAACAAATTAGTCGAAGAAAACATTGCAGATAATGTGATTTTTCAGTAACACTTGCAATAAAACTCAGCAAATACCTATGGAAAATTAAGCTGTTATCAGCATGAAAAAAAAAAAATAGAATAATAATTATCCAATGAGTAATTTGTTTTCAAAAAAAAAAAAAATTATGTCAATTAATTTTTTTTAGAAAATAATCCATAATCCTAATTTTTTGTTTCTTCATAATTTTTGCAACGTTGAATGTAATAATGTATCAGTAACCTTAACATCTATAGGGATACAAGCCAAGTCAATTGTTATACACTTATATTCCGTATGATAAAGTTCAATTGTTAAGTTTATTATTCTTTTTTCTCTTCTTCTTCTTCTTCTTCTTCTTCTTCTTCTTCTTCTTCTTCTTCTTCTTCTTCTTCTTCTTCTTCTTCTTCTTTTTTTCTTTTCAATTTTGTATTATTTTTTAGCCAAGTCATCAAATAAATTGTTGTAATTCAAAATAAAGTTAAAGATGGTTCAATCAGTTGTACTTCTGATTTGCAGTGAGTGTGGGTAAGGTGAATGTCTATTGGAAAGTTTAAGTTTTTTGTTTTATACTATGCCTTTTAGTCATTGGCACATTATACACAAACGTCAATCATAAACACAGACTGAGCTGAGCTTTCTACTTTGCTCTGTGATTCAAGTTCGAAAAATGTGATAACAGGATGGCTGTTGCGCGATATTCATTGCTTGTTGCCAAGCTTATTGCTTATCGTCTTGCAGCACTAGGAAGGTTCCTCATTCCTGGGTGACTCCGGACCACTGGTTGGCTATCTCTGCTTGTAAAAGACAGTTTTTGTACTACTAGATATTCTAGTTTGTTTGCCGTTTAGTTCATAGCTCCTCGTGTTAAGACCAAAAATAAAAAAAAATTCAATCATTAACACACCAAGGCATTTATAATATACGAACAGATTCGCTCTATCATCATCTCTATATATACGAGTTATAAGTATATAACTGTAAGAATTCATACAAGTACAAAGAACTGAGGATGAATTTTGCTATCTATTGATTCTATGTTTTTTTCAAGTCCCGCCTATCTGAACACAAAACCAGCCTTAAAAGTTGAAACTGAACATTATGATTAAGCAGATTCAATTTACATGTTGGACTTATAACCCTAAAAAATGCAGTTTGCTTTCAATAATCTCTTCTGGCTCTGGGAGTGGAAGCAGCTGAGTGAAAACTTTGACGTGACTCACTCTCTGGATCATATTTTTGGGAAGCAAGGTAAGTTAGAGCTGTGACGACATCAGCCATAAGGGGTCTCATATTAGGTTGTTCTTGCACACACATTGCAGCAACTGCCAAAGCTTGATACAATCCCCTTGCTGGATACCTGCCTTGGAGCGCTGGATCGGCTATCTGAGAAAATTTCCTTCTGTCCTTAAACAAGGGTCGTGCCTGCACCAATGAACAAGAAAAAAAAAAAAAAAAACTAATGGAGTTAAGATCTACAAAACACGATAATTATTACTTTTTCCTTCTTTTATCTATTGGGGACAGTAAGAAGGAAGAGATCCAAAATATCCAATTGCCAGTAGTTTTGCCTTTTTGATAACAAAGTTCACTTAAATGGATCATCAATTTCATGAGCATGATCAAGTTCTGATATACCATGAATAAAAAATATAAAACTCTCAAATGCTTCAACCACCATTGTGTATTTTCCAACCAAGAAGCTAACCTAAGGGTAACCAAGAAACAGTAGTTAAATTATCAACAAAAATGATCAGGATCAAATCTCTTACCCATACTACAAGATTGTGCTCTGCATTACTTTTCGAATTGTCAATTGCTTTCCTCCCTGTAATGAGTTCCAAAAGAACAACCCCAAAGCTATAAACATCTGATTTTAGGGTAAGCTGACCAGTCATTGCATATTCTGGAGCACAATATCCGTAAGTTCCCATCACTCTGGTTGAAACATGCGTATTATCCCCTACTGGCCCCAATTTGGCCAAGCCAAAATCAGACAGCTTTGGTTTATAATCTTCATCAAGTAATATATTAGAACATTTCAAATCTCGATATATAACTGGTGGGTTTGCTTTATCATGCAAGTATTCCAAGCCTTTGGCAGCACCAGCAGCTATTTTCATTCTTGTATTCCAATCAAGTCGTCTCCTGTCAGGAGGAATGTCTGGAACAAGATAACAGTGGTCAGGAATGGATTTTTCATCCACAAATCAGAGAAAACAACCAACTATGCAGTAATAAACACAGGACTGACATAATATACTGTCAATTCTTGTGCATTGCAGAAGTTCATGTGCACTTCAATTGCAATAATGAATGACTTCAAATATAACATGATGAAATTCACAAGCATAGGATTTTAACAAAAAAATAAAATAAAATTATCTAGACAGGCTATGATGAAAAAGACTGTCATGTGTAATTACAAACAACTAATCACTAGATAATAATTTTAAATATAAAAACCTAATAATTATGAAGATTATGTCGCTTATCCGGTCAAGATATCAATAACATCATTTATTATCATAGGGGTAAAGCTGAGTACATCTAAGACCCCTACGGCTACCCTGACTAGGTCAGGTGTCTCTTTAAAGAAATTGAGATGTCGATCGTGACTGAATGAGTTATGAACACAAACATGTTGAGAAATAGAACATGCTTAACTACAGATTATGATGTACTATAATGGATGTTTAAGGTATAGTCTACTTCTATCACGAAGTAGTAACTATTAATCAATTGGTAGCCTTTCCCACACTGTGTATAGCTACAACTAGCAATATGCTTCCTCCGTCCTTTTTAAATCACAATGTATTCCATTGTTCCTGTACAGGAAATTGCAAATTCATTGGAACCTTAGTACCTTACTGTATTTCGACAATGATTCCGTTTATCTCTCTTCTCATCACATGAGTTCCCTATTTTTCTCTATCTCTCTCCTCTCCTAAAATGCAGCGCATCCCCCTACCTTGCATTTAAAAAAGAATGAAGTACTATTTTACCCAAGTATGGTTTTTCATGTAAAGAGGAGATTATAAGGTAGCCTCACTTGCCCTGGAGGTAGCATGCTCAAAGGGTCGGATATAGGAAGCAGTTCTGCACAAAGCAGAGTAGATGGTACTCCTTTAGCACCCTCCTTAAACTCCCCTTGGTTGGTGCCTCATGCTTTGGCTGCCATCAATATATAAAGCAGTAATTAAAACCCAAACATATTAGAACTTAAGGTTTATGTGAGAATCTTGAGTTGCATCATAACACAGTGCAAAACCAGATTTTTGTCATGCTTCAAGGAAGTGACACAATGCACTTGCATCGTTCTTTGTATTGAACTTCATACAATCCAGTCAGAGTTCAAACTGCTTTGAGATTATGTGCAAATCCAACTAACTCAGCACTACAGCAACTTTTAGCTATTTCTCATATCATCTCATAAGGTGAAAAACCTTCCTCTTTCAATTGTCAGGTATCAATTTTACTATTTCTTCTTAATTATAGTCTAAAGCCACCCAAATATATACCAGATCACTGCATATCTCCAAAAGTTCCATAAATCACCCATATGAAATTCTTCATTGACAGTCTTACATATATCCAAAATCTCCTATCAAACAATATTAAATATGCCCATACATCCAATGTCAACAAAGAGCTCCTTGATACGAAGAGAATGCATGCAAGCGCCCTTGAATGCGATACATAACTAGTCTCCATCTTCTTCTATGAACATTTAAAAGCGGCCTTACATGAGTGTGAAGGATTGAAAACTGACATATGCATAATATTTCACAAGTAGTATAAGGTGGTTTTGAGCAGATTCACATAATAAGAGAATTGTTTTTACCAATTTTCTACTTTTATTAGTATAATGCAGAAAGTCAACATTACCCACTAGCAGCCAAATACTAAGAATATTTTTCCCCTTGCTGCACCAAAACGGGGGCTGAGTTGCAACTCTTGCAAGATATAAAAATAACAGGAGTAGTGATGTATTCAGCCCTTTCTTATTAGATTCAGAAAACCTTTTACCCCATGAGTGGACACCAATTAAGAGTCACCAGGTATTTACGTACCATAAAGATGGTCTTCCAACGATCCTAGTGGCATATACTCATACACAAGAAGCCTTTGATCTCCATCAGCACAGTATCCGATTAAGTTAACAAGGTTTGGATGGTGAAGTAGGCTGAGCATCAACACTTCGACAAGGAACTCCCTATTGCCCTGAAGCCCATTATGATCAAGTTGCTTAATAGCAACAACCTACATCAAATCCATTATCTTATAAGTATTAAGACCGTATAAAAAATATAATTAATTCACACAAATCAGGGTAAAATGTAATTCTCAGTTCACAGAAATGAGCAAAAGCTAGACTACTCCACTCTTCATCCTAATAAAGTGAATTCAAAGTATAAACCAACAACCCCTCCCCCCTTATCAGGCTTTAAATTTTTGGGACAAATGATTCCAACATATTGTAAAAAAGCAACACACATCACAATCTAGTAATTGACTAATAAAAACACCCTCTAGAAAGTTATACAGTATTTCCAACAAAACATAGCTGCTGCACGATAATTCACTCAAACATCAACTCAAAATGTTGTCACTTGAGAGATTGTTTATAAACAACAGATATAACCAAGTAATACAAGTAACAATGATATGGGAGAATGGCTTTTTAATAATACAGAAGCATATTACTATAGAAGACATTCGTGAGTCATGAAAGAAATCAAACCGCCTACATTTAACCAATCAAATTA